TTCAAGTTATGTCCAAGTTCAAGGGCTGACATTTTGGTTTAAAACTTCAACATTTGGCACTGTTCACATCTATACTGTTAAAATCCTATCAGGTGCACTAGGGTCTTAATGAGCATGTTTTAAATCTGAGGATTGTGCTGCGATCTGCTGTTGAAGTTTTATCAGCACAAGTGGGAAAGATGATAATTGTGTCAGGCCTACATCCATCTTGACTTATAGCCTTTAGTTGATTTTAAGATCTTAATTTAGTCTTCCTGCTGTGGATTCGGAGAGCTTCGGGTGAGTGCAAGATTGAGAGCAGCTGGTGGAATGGCGTCTTTGAGTCCTGGAGAGGAGGATATGGAAAGTGCATCTGAAGGAGAAGGAGGATGGAAAGAAGTTGAAGAAAGAAGATAGACTTGTCAACTGACAGTCTCAGTGAGTCTGATTCGCAGAATGAAATGAAAAGAACAAAGAAAAGGAATGAGAATGAAGAGTGGAAAGTGATTGTGGAGTTTGGTGAACAATCCGCAACTAAATTACACCCAGTGGCCTTGACTAAAGCGATTCACAAAGAAATTGGTTCGATAAAGCAAGCAAGATTTCTGAGCAAAGGACGGATGTTGATAGAAATGATAAATGCAAAACAACAGGAAAAGTTACTGAAAAAATGAAGACCCTGAATGAAGTTTGAATTAAATGCCTTGTTCCCAGAGCAAATCGAAAAATACGTGGAGTGATCAGTGGAGTTCCGCTAGAAATCAGCATTGAAGAACTCAAGAAAGAAATTAAAGGGGGAAAAGTCTCTGTAGTTAAGCGTCTTCCTATAGGTATCAGGGTAGTGGATAGTTTGTCTGTTCTTCTTCAGTTTGAAGAAACAATTCAACAGAAGATAATGATAGGTTGCATGAGCTTTCCAGTAAGATAATTCATCCCTAACGGAGTGTCCACACTACAGCTTCAAAAAAAGCTTGGAGCTAGGCGTGTCTGAAGCTTGGGGATGTTATTCAAGCAACGCGACCAACAACCAATCACATGAATCTCCCGCCCCCGACATACAAAGCAAAAACCCCCGGGGATTTTACGGGAGCAATATATATATAAACTCCCCAAACAGGCGAAAACCTACCAGTTTCACCCACTGTCTCTGCCACCTCCCTCCATGCCTGGTTCCTCCGGTTTGTATCCGGGTAGGTGAAGAGGGTCTGGTCATACAAAACCGTGTGATTTGCTACGGCGATAATTAGTTTCTCCTCCATCTTTTTTTGAAATATAGAAATGAACGGCGGGATATCTCTCCCAGCTTAGACGCGGTTTGATTGGCTACGGCTTGAGCTGTCAGATTTTCCGAAACGGGATTTGATTGGCTGGCGCTGGCTACTCCGGCGTCAGAAGTTGAACATTGTTCAACTTCTGACGGCGGAGACGGACCGCTATGCTACCCACAATTCAGTAACGGAGCGTCCACACTACAGCATCAAAAAAAGCTTGGAGCTGGGCGTGTCTGAAGTTTGGGGATTTTATTCAAGCACCGCGACCAACAACCAATCACATGTATCTCCCGCCCCCGACATAGAAAGCAAAAACCCCCGGGGATTTTATGGGAGCAATATATATATAAACTCCCCAAACAGGCGAAAACCTACCAGTTTCACCCACTGTCTCTGCCACCTCCCTCCATGCCTGGTTCCTCCGGTTTGTATCCGGGTAGGTGAAGAGGGTCTGGTCATACAAAACCGTGTGATTTGCTACGGCGATAATTAGTTTCTCCTCCATCTTTTTTTGAAATATAGAAATGAACGGCGGGATATCTCAGCTTAGACGCGGTTTGATTGGCTACGGCTTGATTGTCAGATTTTCCGAAACGCGATTTGATTGGCTGGCGCTGGCTACTCCGACGTCTCCGGCGTCAGAAGTTGGACATTATTCAACTTCTGACGCCGGAGACGGACCGCTCTGCTACCCACAATTCAGTTCGGCGAAAAAAAGCGCCAACGTGACGTCACCCCATTCAAAGTGAATGGGCAGATTGAAGCTGTCGACGCTGTAGTGTGGACGGGCCGTAAACCTCTGCGGTGCTTTAAATGCCAAAGGTTTGGTCATGTGGCAGACAAGTGATTGTTAATAAGTACAAATGTGTGGCCTTTATTGGAAAAGTGGTGAATGTTGCTTTGCAACAAACAAAAAAGAGGTCAAGACTGAAAACAATAGTGGAAGCAGCAGGTGCATTTTGGGGATAAATGATATAACCGTTGAAATTCTACATGATATGCTAGCCCTCAATAATGATGATTCACAGATTAGTGAGTAGATTAATGGTTTTTCTCATTCTGCAGTGGAATGCTAGAAGCCTTATTGCAAATGGACAAGAATTTAAGATCTATATATATAAAAGAAACACCAGATGTTATTTGCATTCAAGAAACATGGCTGAAGACTCATTTGGACTTCATTATTAGGGGATATAGTGCAATAAGACAATATAGAAATGATGGTCAGGGAGGGGGATGTGCAATCTTTATCAGAGAAGTAATGTCATGTAAAGAAAGAAACAGCTCTTACTTTACTTCTTGTTCTTAGTTACAGACCACTTCACTTTACACAAACAAATCTTGCTTAAAGTGTATTAATCTAATCTAGCACATTTGGGATCTCTAAAGTTTGATTCATTAGGAGGTTGTACTTCCATAAATTATTTTTAATTAAATGTTCCACTAATTTAAACAATATTTGTGTGTTTAGGTAATTCTGCTACCACTAACAGCGCATACATCTAAAGCTTGAAAGCCATTTAGCCTTATGACTCAACAATTCTGTAGGCCTTCATTTTAGACAGCAGCTCTTTGTTAGGGATCTCTAGTTGAAGAGGGATATGTGTTGATTTGAATTGACTCTAAACTTTTCTCTCAACTCCAGATTAAAGATGTCTGGCCGTGGAAAGAAAGCTGTGTCCAAACCAAAATCTGTGTCCCGGTCTTCCAGAGCAGGGCTCACTTTCCCAGTGGGCCGCATCCACAGGCTGCTGAAGAAAGGCCAATATGCCAAGCGAATCGGCAATGGTTCAGCAGTGTACCTCGCAGCAGTCACGGAGTATCTCTGTGCTTGTTGCGACCTGGCTCAAAAGGCCACAACAAAAAGGAGACACAACATGTCAACGGCTAGGTAAAGGTGTTTATTTGCACAAAACTGTTCAAGTCAACTCATGGTTTATACTCATCAGAGCCGGGTGCCTGCAGGAAAAAGCAGAGAGAGAGAACAGACAGGAGCAGAGAGGCTTTAAAATAGCTGCAGAGCACCAGACCCAGATGCCCTGAGTTACTGCAATCAGTGCGATCAATGCAGCCAAGACAGGACAGCCACACCCTCTCCACTGATGAACCCACAGGGGCATCACAGTGCTGAAATCCTGGAGTTGGCAGGAAACGCTTGCCGTGACAACCAGAAGCATCGCATTGCTCCACGACACATCTTGTTGGCAGTGAAAAATGACGAAGAGCTCAACACACTGCTGGCAGGAGTCATAATCTCAGAGGGTGGTGTCATCCCAAACATCCATGCAATCCTTGTCCCCAAGAAGAAGACCAAGGCGCCCAGGGACGAGAGTCCAGCTAAAGATGTTCAGTCGCAAGAGTTTTAATAATGTACATGTTTTGCTAATTTTATAATAAAGTGTTGTGTTTTTTAAACTGATGCTTGTCTTATTTGACACTTACATAGCAGATAAGCACATTTGGTTGAATGCTAAGAAAAGTGCTCAATGTCTTTCTCCCTATCTAAGGAAACTGCATGCGCTTTGAGGAATCCCAAGTTGCACTGATTATTTGTAGGATAAACTCTGCCAACAGTAACCCTAGATTGTGATTTTTATTTTAGGATAAAGATGCAATTCTGTCTGCAGACATATGTTGCTGTCCAACTAGCCACATGCTATTGAGAAACAAGTGACATTGCTGCAGTTTACTATTAGGCACCGCTCATGATTTACATGTCTGATCAGTAACGCATGCTATTCCAAAAGTATTAATTTCAACCTGACTTGTTTTGGCTGCTTTATGTAATCAGACCTTAAACCTTACTTGGGAGGATTTTATACATTTTCTTTTTGTGGAATATGTCCAATAATATGATCAGGGCAATGATGCATTTCAGATAGCAAGTATAACAATACAAATTAAGCATCACTGTCATTAGTGTTTTTTGAAAAGTTTAAATTAAGTCAATGTACAGTAGCAATGCTTAAGTTTTTTAAAATAAAAATACCACCATAACAAGTAAAGGCCCTTGAGTATTCGTATTGTATTGTATATCGTACAGGGCTAAAATAGCCCATTTAAGAATCCCATGTTGGCCTACTAAATTAAAAACATATTTAATGATTTATTAATTCAAATATGTTTAAGTCTGCAATAAAAGTACTAACTGAAGCTGTCACATAAATATAAATAAAGTATAATGATGGAAAATATATAAATACTCAAGTAAAATAGAATTACTGCAAAACTGTACCCAAGTACGTAAAATGTTTTCATTTACATTCCAACTGAATGCTTTACCTAAATATCGCTCCATATCTTTAAACAGTGGTCTTAAGTGAGTGGAAGAAGTGGAAGAAGTACAACTACAAGATCTGAGTACTTCTTCCACCTCTGCTACATGTTAGCCTACTAAATTAAAACATAAAATGTTTTATGATTTATTGATTTATGTTGTATTCATCCAAGTCTGCAATACAAGTAACTAGTAACTAGCTATCATATAAATATAATGAAGTAGAAGTATAACGTTGGGAAATGTATAAACTCAAGTACAATTTCGCAGTAATTCTATTTTACTTTGGTACAGTTTTTTGATTTAATGTATTTATTTACATCCCACCATTGTTTTTGAGCTGTATTCTGTAACCTTAATATTCCTCCATAGTCCATACATTTTTAACAATTATAAATATATATATTTTTTGTGCAACTGTCTGACTCCGTAACCCTGCGTCTGTTGAACGCACCCCTGTGGTTAACGACGTGCTTACGTCAGACGTGTGAACAACAAACAGTTGTTGGACTTCAACAAGCTAGCGAATGGTAACGCTAGACAAAAACAGGTTCAACGTACTTCTCCCGGACAGAGGGAAATCTACGACACCGGAGCGGTCTGAACAGCTTCATAACATCATCCTAAACAGCACTGTTCGTACCGGCAGGTGTAGCTTCGGCACGGTTGCCTAGCGCTAACGTTAGCCACCGAAACATGCTCAATGCTCGGACTGTGACGCCTGTTTTTTTTCTGGCTGCCGCTGGTCGAGGGTTGTGATGCGAGCAGCCGAGTTGCAGCACGACAGAGGGTGAGACAAGAACCGGAAAAATAATTTTCTTGACACTGAAGAATGGTGGAGAAACAGACGGGCTCACGTAAAGAAGCTGGCATGCGACCGTACCCGGGCCTGGACGTCATCGTTAGGCAACAACTTTAGCAAGCTAGCTAACATTAGCTCGCCTCAAATCCATGCAAATGAATTGGTTTGGTGTCAGGCAGTAAGCTCCCTCTGCTAGCGTAATGGATGCACCCTGACAGCTTGTTTATTTCAATTGACTGTCCTGTTCTTCTTAAATACTGCTGGCAATGTGCTGACGAACAGCAAGCGTTTCGTCGGTTTCCACTTGGAGCAATAACACATACATTATCAAGTGTGTTGGTTGCCTGCCTGGTTGTGCAAAGTTGTCTTGTTTGGCTGAATATCTATTTCACATGTGCATCACATATTTCTTTAAACTATATTTGTGTTCAACTGCACTTTAATTACCACATTTTAAGGATGCACCAAAGTCACCTGTGGTTTTTGAAAACTATTATAAAAAGTACAACAAACTAGTTAAAAATATATAATTAATTTCCTAATTGCACTTTAATATAATTTGGTCCATAAAGGAAAGGGATAGGTGCACGTTAGCGTACATTGTTGTAAGACAAAGACCAGAAACAGTCTTATTCGTGTCAGTGGGTTACTAGTTACTCTTTAATCCAGGCTGTCTGGCACAGTGAAAGACTGAGTTTCACTTGAAATGAAAACATGAATATCGAAGAGCAGTGTCTAGATTTGTGCAACGTCAAGACAAAAAGCAATGTGGACGATGATCACAACACTACCAACAACACTGAAGGGGTCACCCCCCGGATTTCTGAACTGATGACGGACAGTACCACAGAAATACAAAACATTGTTCCAACAGGGGCCCCAGAAACATACCTGATGCCTCAGCTCACTGACAACCTTCAGGCAGCTGAGGAGGACAATCACCAGGCACAAGACACACTGGAAATTGACGAGGTCAATGGAAATACAAAAGGCAGTGCTCAAGACTCCCCCGCTGTTGTGAATCCTACTGACTTGATATTTTCTAATGATGAGCAGCACAAGGACGATATTGTGGTTGAGAAAATGAAGGAAGAAAAAGACATTGATCCTGCAACATTTGTTGTTGAAGAAGGGGATGATGGTGGGGACATGGACATAGGTGTGGATCTGAGTCTTGATGAGAGTGGGGTGTTGGAGACGGAATCAACAAATGTCCAATCTTTTTCAGACAATATTTTAGACTCAGAGTCCACGTCTCAGGATGTCTGCACGGCAGAGAGCCTGTCAGATGCAGGCCAGACAGGCAGCACAGAAGCCTCTAACACGGGCCCGGCTGGACTGTACCCTTCAGTGGAGGAGGGGGACGATAAACACAAACCAACTGGCAAAAGGGTGACATTTCCCTCAGATGAGGATATTATATCTGGAGCAGTGGAGCCCAAGGACCCCTGGAGGCATGGTAATACTTTGTGTTTGTTTCTGTACCTACACTTGTATGTGTGAAGAACTCTATGTATTCTTCTTGTCTATTAGTGCTTGTATGAACACGTCAGTTTCACATGGTTTGCCAGGATCAATTCTCTTAAGACTTTCTAACAGCAGTGTTCTCAAAGTCCATACTTAAAAGGGATTTAAAGATGCCCTTTCAAGATCCATATTCTGTTTGTAGTTGGTAAAAGGGTGAGATGGATTGATGTCGTATTATGAACTTGAATACATGAGGTGTGTCAATCTGCCCTTTTTAATAATGTTCCCCTGTGTATGCTCACCTTTTCCATGATCACTCTACAAAGTATTTAGTAATCATGCAGCACCTGCGCCCCTTTCATTTATTGAATTTAAATAGTCAAATACAAATAGTGGTATAGTGCTTGTTACAACAGCCTAAGTATACAGTCTATATATCTAAATATGGTCCCAGTACTGTGCAGTAAGCCATATTGTGAGCATATCCCACCACTCCTTGAGGTGTGCCATTTTACCGCTGTCGGTTCCTGTTTGTTCAGTGAAAACATGTCTAAAGGAAGCTTAAGCAGGATGTAGTATACTATTACCTTTACAATTTACAATTGTACTTTGTTACTGCAAGGAGTGAGGTTCAATACACTGAAAAGTAGATTTAATTTGAAATGCCATTCTCATAGCTTCTGACAACAATGCAATGCATTTTATATATTTTTACTAGTTAACAAAGTAACATTTATTTTTTTATTTGTATTGATCCACAGGAATGATTTGAATCTAATAATAATTAATATACTGTTCCCAGGTCCTATAATTCGTATTTTATTTGTCTCTTTGTTTTTGTTTCATCTTATATAGATACTGCTTTTAGTATCCAGTAGTTCTATGTTGTAATCTTTCCTTGGAAGAACTGGCAAGTCAAGTATGATCAGACAATGACTCACATGCTCCTACATGTGGTGTGGACAATGAGCATCATTTAATAAACGTTAAATAGTCATAGTGTGCAAATGTGTTTGCTCAGAGTACTGTGGCCGCCGTTGTGATAGTTACCCAGTTGATTGCAGACCGATACGATGTTTATTTAGAAAATATACTGCTGGCCGTACAGTGTCTTTGTGATATGTGTGGTTTTAATGGTAAGCCACAGAGAGTCAACAATGTAGGCCATGCAGGCCAAAGCAAGGGTCAGTGATGCCAGATTTCCAGAATGGGGGAAGGGGCCGAAAAAAGAAGCAAATAAAGCTTCAAGGTTCATTTGCTTACAAAACTGCCTCATGTTCAGCTGAATATAAATTGGTCTATTAACACAACTGTAATTGGTTAGACATCCACTCAGAAAAACACTTATGTGGTCCCCAATTTATTTATTTATCCCTTGTTACTTTAATTTATTTTCTAACCACTCAAATGATTGACATCTTCATTGCATCCATGACCCTCACTGGTTGTCACGTAACTCCTAAGCTTTTACATGTTTCTGTATCAGTTTGCGCTGCACTTGCCAGTCAACCAGTCTGATAGGAAATTGGACATGAAATATCTCCAGCCAAACTCCACGGGGGAAAAGTCCAACCCAGTTAGCAAGGATTTCTAGGACCTTATGAAACCCTTGGCAATGGGAACAGTCAAGATGAATGTAATGATCTGTGGCTCAGATTATTATCAAGCGCACTTATCATGAAGTTTATTTAAATTCCAAAGGTCCAGTTTATTGCACCGTTGTTATAGAGGCAGACAGACAGTTGGTGGCAGTGAAGTTAATCACATGGTACAGAGTGTTCTGCTGTCAATATACTCCAAATATAACACAATCCAACCGATCCAACTACAATCATTTGAATTCCAAATACTCTGACTATGTTTTCAGTCCAGGTATAGTTACATTAAGATCAGATTTAAGGAATTCATTTTCTCACCTTTATGTTTTGAAACATTTTATCGGTGCCTACCCTCTTCCTTTTGTTCTTGTTGATACCAGTGAATTGTAGATTGCTCCCAAAGTCAAACCATTTAATGTTAAGTGATTGAAATGGCATTTTGATGCATTCCTTCACAGCAAATTCCTGGGTTGGAAAAAAACAAACAAGCCAGCTTTCTAGGTGGAAGTAAGAGATAGTATATTCCTGTATGAGAGACACGGCCATGGCCACTTAAATGACAACAAGCTCGAAGGAGATTGGAAATGCTACTTCAAAGAGAAAATAACTTTAAAACCAATTTCATTGATTGACATTGCAAACACAAACCCTTTGTAGTAAACCTGTACAGTAGCATCTGTGCTGATTGTAATATCATAGAGGGGACACATCCCTCAAGATCCCCTCTCGGACTAAAAGAAACTCCCCGTAAAACCATGCAGAGTACTGTTTTAGTGGTTTGCAGATAAGTCACCGTTGAGATATAAAAAAAACGGATCTATGCTGATCCAGTACTAAGCCACACTTTGACTATACACTCTGAGCCCTTGGAGCTGCAACAGAAGGCCACGGACATGTGTGTTGTTACCTTATTGTTTGAATTGACTCTCCAACTCAATGCTCAACTCCCTGAACCTTTGACCTTCACCTGGATATTTTCTCCCGTGTCCTGATGCTGCCCTCTATGTTTAGGACTAGCTCTCACATGGGACTGAATATGTTTCTCAGGCAAAGTCCAGGAAATGAAATGTATCCGCCACTCCAAGGCCCTCCATGCTTTGTCGTGAGCGCTGGGCCACAATAGCTCCCTGACCTATCCAGACCCTTTATCTGCAGATCTAGTGTCAGGCTCTCTGGGTCCCTATCTCATGTGATCTGTCCGAAACATAACAGCAAAGAGAGCTGGAGCTCACAGACCCTGGAGCTTCATCCATGCACAGTGTGAGTTACTGCTGTAGGAGCACAGGGCAGAATTTGATAAATGGGTATTGAATGCCTTGCAAAGCGAAACATATCTGGTTTAATAGCTGTCACGAAATGAGCCTCTGATAAGAGCAAAAGCTGCCATTCAGAACCAACACCTGGGGTTCAGGAGGGAACAATCGTAGCGATATCAGGTGTAATATTTAATTTCTTCCTTGGCACTCATTTGACCACATTTGATGGCCAGTTTCATTGCATCAGCAGGCATACAAAGTGTGAGGCAAGAATGTATGCTTTAAACACCATTAGTGGGTACAACCTTTGTCCTATCATGAGTTTCATTTTGCCGACATTGGTAAGAAATATCGATGTCATTTGGTTCTGAGTTTGATAATATCTTTCCTGAGGATGTTTTCCCTTCCCCCTCTCCCTGTTGAGGCTTGAGAGACGCCTGTTCTTTCCCTCAAGGCGTGGGTAAATACTACATCATATCCTGAGATTCCTGAACTTCCCAACATGCTGGGTTGCTTCCCCTGCTCCCTTCGCCTCTCCTCCCTTATTTCTCCTCCTCCCTGGCTGGCCAATTCAGTTTAGGGGCAGCTCAGTGTTATAACAGCAAAGCATGCCATTACAAAAGCCCTGGATCATATTGGTTAATCTGCAAAGTAATTTATTTTATAACACGTATCAGTTGAAAACAATGCAGAAAGAGTTTTTGTTGAGTCATGGTGCTTGCTACCATTGAGAAGGATAGAGCATGATACAGTACGTTAACGTATTGTGATACAGCTTTCTGGAGGAGAAAGTTGAACCCTCCTATTTGCAGTGCAGACATTTCCTTCACATTAATGTCTGTTTATTCTGCAAGCAGCCAAACTCTGTGGCCTACGTGCAGCTCCATCTCATGTCATCAGACCCAAGGGCCACTTGGCAACAGGTTATTAGAGGCTTTGTGACCCATGAAATGGTATGTGTTATGGCTGTGGACCAAGTGACATACTGATAAGAAAAGGTTTTCAGTGTACTACATGGTTTGTGCAGGAGGCAGACCTGGTTTGGATTTTCCGAGGTAAAGGCTTAATGAACTTTTGTGAAGTCATGTATAAATGGACTGTGTTGTAAGTCATCTAAAGCACATTTTCATCCCATTGGGAACAACATAGCTGCAAACATTTGAGTCAAAAGGGCCAAGTTAACAGAGTCAAATGCCAGCTGTTAATGCCAGCTTTTGTACACCTTTATCATTTACAGGCCATTTTCCATAAACACTTAAAGGTGGGGTATGTAATTTATTTCAGAAACACTTTTTGTTATATTCCATGGAATGCTCTTAACATCCCGATAGCAATGAATATCTTAAGTGCTTTGACAAAAAATCCATACAAAAATGTCATCTGTGGAAGCCGTGGTTCTGTAAAAAGCACGACCAATCATTTTAGCCGGGCCGACTAAAATAACTGGATGGCCTACCTGCCTGTCAGTCTTCCATCTGTGCACAAACTTATCTCGTGCCCTCATTGGTCATGTGTGTGTTGGAGGAGGGGCTCTATAAGGAAGTAGCAGATTTGTTCCGGTTGTGTATTTTCAAATTCTAGTGCACTCGAGCTGGTTTCTCCAAAATGACCTACCCCACCTTTAAGAAAAGTGAGGGATACAGTGCACAGCAATAGAAGACGTAACAGGATAACAAGACACATTAACAAGGCGTAAAGTCTGTAATAGAAGTAAATCATTATTATTATATTATTCTGCATTTTATTATACGTTTTACCTCTGGTTGGGTTTAATATGTATGATGAGTTTTAGAGCTGATGACAGGTACATCCCTACCCACCAATAGACTAAGGACCAGTGTCTGCTTACACAGCTTCCAATGTGTTGCAAAGTTTTGTAAACATTGGTGTCTTGGCTACATAAACGATATCATGATGACGACACTGTTTCTAAATAGTTTGTCTGTGTATAGTTTTGTTCCTAATCAACAATGCCCACTCATGCGATATGTCTGTGATACAATATGACCTGCAGGAAAGCCTTCGTTTGTACACTCAGTCATTATGCATTTCTGCCTGTCCATGCTTCACATGCACCTTGGCTTGTCTTGGACATTTGAGAAAGAACTTTGCGTCTGTTTGGTGTTTGTTTTATGAGT